ACGCCCTCATCCTGTGAATAAATAAAGAAAAAAAACTCCAGTCCTGGAACCATTCTGGTAAATTTACTCTCCACCTCCTACAGACTCTTAACTCCCACCAAATGTGCAGTAACTGGAACTGGATACAATATTCTAGTTTTATAAACATTCAACATGACTTTCCTACTGAATGGGAGACAGTAAAGTAGAGACAATGTTTCCCAAGATTCCACATGCTTTACTCAATACTCACTAATCTCTCAGTATGTTCTGTCACCTACAGTGATCTATGTATGTCAACTCTCAAGTCCCACTGCCCCGTACACACTCTGCAATTGTCTGTATTCTTTACCCTATTCCCATCTGCCAAAACAGATCAGCTTACACGTCTCTGTATTCCCTCTGCCACTTGTCTACTGACCTACCTGTTTTGCTACAGTCAGTGTTATCCTCACTGTCAGCCATAGCTTCACATTTCTTAATTCCAATATCCATGTTATTTTTGTCGATCAAAAAATGTGTGGTACTGACTTTTCAGGACTCTTGCTGTATAACACCACCAAGTCTAAAAATGTACCTACTACAAAGTGCTGTTTTTTGTCCTTGAGGCAATTGCTTTGTACAAACTCATACAGACTCTCCTGTGCCATGAGCCTCAACCAACTATATGTGGTACTTTGTCAAAAGCTTTCTTCAAATCAATGTGGATAACTTTCACCAGATTCCTCTCATCAACATTTGTCACTTCATCAAAAAAATCAATTAAATTTAAGAAATCATTTATATTAGTCAAAACACAATTTGTCTTTTATGAATCCATGCTGGCTCTCCTTAACTATTTTAAACATTACCAAGTGCCTTTTCTTTCTTTGATTATTTCTAAAGCCTTACCAACCACCAATATTAAACTGATTGAGTGGCCTGTACTTACTGGAATATCCTAGCATACTTTTTTAAACAAGTGTGTCACATATGCCACTTGCCACTTCTGTGGTGAGTCTATCTAAGCAAGTTTGAAATTTTATGGAAAACTCTTGATATCTCTGCATCCCCACTTTCTTTAGTAGCCTGGAGTGCAAGCCTTAAAAACCAGGGGACTTATTCATGGCCAGCCTTTCCAGGAATGCTGCTGATAATTTTTTTACCCATCTGTCCTCTTTCTTAAATGCCATGATGGCTGCAAATCATAGAGCAAATGTTTTTTTCTTGTTTCACGCCTATGTGTTTTGGTTGCTTTAAGTTCTCATAGTGAAATATCACAGATGCAATGTTATCCCAACATAAATCATCATGGACTCAGGCACATGACAATATTTAAACAAATAAACATTAAATGATTAACAAGAACAAGAATACAAAATAAATTTGGTACAACATTTTTGAAACAAAAACACCAAACACCAACATGAACAGATTGAGCCAAATAGCCTGTTTTCATTTTGTAACTTGTATGTATTTTCATGTATTCCTTTGCTTCTAAGTAACTACTGTAAAATCTTCTATTAATTCTGGTCTGTGATCGCTATTATCTCCGGTAGGGGAAAAAAGAGTAACTGTACTGTTCCACTCTAATTAACTAACTAAGTCTTAAGACCTAGATTCATAAATGATTAACCATCACTGATCTAAGGTGCTGTAGAGGATTCCTTGCCTCCATGGAACTGTACCCTACAGTAACAAAAGGAAACTGAGAAATCATACTTCTAGACTTCTGTTTTGCCACTATATATTACTGTTGTCTTGTTGCTACCATGATGATGCATCTTTATTAAATAAATGATCATAAGCCTAATTATTTAGGCTAATTTAGAATGTCTATCACTGATGAAGAAGACTATGATATTAGAAATGTTTACATCAGTTAATAATTATAACAAATTGACAATGGTGGCTCAAGAGTTGAAAATTTGTTTTTATATTTTTGTACTGTTGTATAACTCATTTGATACTGCAAATATAAATTTACCATCCACATTTAAAACCTGGCAGGTTATTTCACAGAAGATTCTGTGCTAATGCCAGTTTACAATTCAAGCTGATGTATGACAGATCTGACCAACCTTAGGTTGCTAGGTCAAGTCCAGTCATCTTCATGCTTATTACTGGTGACTAAATGCGTGTGAAGTCTAGACATGTTCACACAAGCAATGTGCTCTTTGTCTTCATCTGAAACATGGAATACTATTTTATACAAATGCTTTGAGCATAAAGATACCAGGTATATTCCTATTTGGAAGAAACTAAATGTTGATCAATAAAAATAAATGTGAATGAGAATGCACTGTTCAATGTTACATAATTTGTGTAAAGTTAGTGCTGTTATAAATAGCAAGTCATTAAGCAATATTAAATTGTCAATATGTTTGATAATTGACAGCAATTAACCTAAATCCAAATTGAAAAATACCCTTTACTGGAGCCAGAAGATGAAGTTGAGGACAATGTAAAGAATGAGCAATGAGCTTCAGATTGCCGAAGCAAATTAGCGCTCGTGTACGTGCAAATTGTTAATGCAGACTATTCATGCAGTGGCAGGGCAGAACTTTCTGTACCTATTCTCATTTCTCCCTTGATACTCTCAGCAACGTCTGGAGTATGCACGTGCTCAGAATAGCATGGAAATGCAGAAGCTGCGCTAAGGGATTCTGCCTTTTCCAGAGAGATGCACTGTTGCATGCCCCCCTTCAATTGATGGAAATCAACTGAACTGGCAGAACTTCAGCTCATACCCTTAACCTTGCTTTAGACCCTCTTAAAAAATTATGCTTTGTTTAAGGCCTCATAAACCTTATAGTTACTGCCAGTGTACCTGTTTAGCTCCTTCACTGTTGCTGGGTCAAAATCCTGGAACTCCCTCCCTAAGGGCATTGTGGGTCAACCCACAGCAGGAGGACTGCAGCGGTTCAAGAAGGCAGCTCATCACCACCACCTTCTCAAGGGGCAACTACGGAAGGACAAGAAATGCTGGCCAGCCAGCAATGCCCACATCCCACAAATAAATAGAAGAAAAATAAAAGACTAATTGTATATTTGTGGAATAAGCAAATTTCTACAATTTTTTTTTTTTTAATGGAGAATTTATCTTTATTTTAGCTTCTATCTTAATCCAATCTGAAAATCTCTATTCAATGTGAAGAATTTTAAGTGTTCTTAACATACTGCTTTTCTGTATCTGGATATGTCAGTGTGATTGACTGCTTACCTGCTTGCTGTTATTACAGCTGCTGCACATTCCTTGGCTTAGTACCATGTTCAAACTGCTATCGAAAAAACAGAAAGCAGCATCACGGATGTTACTAGACCCATTGTGGGCAACTGCTGTCACAATCAGTGGGAAGCACTGTTGCTTTGCATCTGATCACATGATCCAGTCCAAAGTCTCGTACCTGTGTAGGTCGGAGTAATGTTCAGGGTGTATACCTTATAAATTTACAGTGATCTTCTTCCAAGATTGAGAAAGCAAAATTTTTACATCTTTTCCCTTCTGTAGAACTGCAAACTGTTAGATGAAACTCCTTATGTGAATGAGTCATAATAATCATCCTGATAGTGTTATCAAAATAGAGCTTTTGTAACTCATCAATTTTGGAATCTAGTTAATCAGTGGCTACCACAGATCATTGGGTCTACATTCTGGTCCCCTCTGATAGTCCGATAGGGGACAGTTAAAATGGACCTCAAAATGAATCTCTTCTCCCATCTGGGCAACCGTAATTTTCCTAATAGGTTTGAAGGTCAAGGAGACCCAGGCAAAGTGAGTGAGAAGTGTTAAATATACAGATTGGACATAGATGATTGAAGACCCCAGTTAGACACCTCTGACTCCAAAGGAAAACCTTTGGCCTCCCCAGACCTGGGTTCTCAGCTGCCTGCTGGAGTTGAACATTGCCTGATACCACCAGCCCAATTGCACTCTTGCACTTGTGTTACTACCCCAGATAGTTCCATTAAGTGTCCAGGGATCTATCAAAAGGTATTAACCTGTATCCATTGCCTCTAATTGAAGCAGTTCCCTATGTTGTGATTGCAGCATTTGGTCAACATTGACTGTCTTGGTGCGTGGTTGAACGAGGGAGATACAAGATGATGTGCTCGAGGTAGCCATACTCTTGCTGAAAGGTGGAGCAGGATTTCCTGTTCCTGTTTCTTATGTTCTTATGTCATCAGCTGCTAACCCTCAACACCTGGTAAACACTCATTGGTTTGTCACTGTTCAAATGTCGATGGTTCAGATACGCATGGTTCATTGTATGTGGCTCACATAACTGGACAGTTGTGGGAGTAGAATCTATTTTAGTCACAGTACTTTGTCACACATCATCTGCAAAGCGATTTGATCTTTATGACAGGTACCAGGTCCTGAAACATGACAATCTCATTCTTATTCCCTCAAATTTTAACAGACTATGGGGTTGGATGGGACGTGAAGAATGTGCGCAGGGGGGTTGAAAGCTGATTTTTCTGCATTTCTTCACAGCTTCAACAAAGTGGCATAACACCAAGGCTTGCCTCGTGCCTAGACCACTCTCTGTATCTGGCAGCCTTGGAACTCAATAGACGCGAACGTGATCGCCCATACTCCTTTCCCCACTTGGGGACAATAGTCCAATTGTTTTCCTGAGTAGCGTTTGCAGATCCAGGAATTATCCCAACTCTGCTTGCCTGAATCTGAAGTGAAAATTCCATTCCCTGCCTGAATTCCTTCACCCTCCCTGCCACCTCTGTTTTTAAATATGGGATTTCACTACCAATTCAAAATTAAAATAAATCAAATAGCAAACAATGCAAACGATTGGTGAATCAAACTTTGTAATATATTTCAGTGCCCCATGTTGTAACAGAAGCTGGTCTATGAAATAAACTGATTTCTGAAACTACTGAATAATTCATCTCAAACATAATGTTCAGTGCTTAAATTTCTAAAGCATCGATTAATATACAGATGTATTTAAAATAGATTTATTGTAAACCATTCTTTTTCTGAGATAAATGCATTGCTTTGAATGTAACTCTGTTTCCCATTAAGTGTTCACTGATTGTGACTTTTTTGTCCCCTTAATTATAATAACCTCAGCATGTGGGATATTTGCCAGCACAACAGTATCAAATTTTGCCTTGAATTTTTCCAAAAATTCACAGTCTGAATTAAATCTCAACTTGTTTGCCCATAAAATCACACTGTCTGGTTGACAAAAATAATCAAAGGTAGCCATTAAATCATCCAGGTAATGATGATGATAAACGACATCAGCTGCTAGGATATAATCATAGTGAGGAATAGGTTGAGGAAAGTTTTTATCTAAATCTACATTCCAAGCCAACTCCTTAACTTGAGGGTGATGCTTGCTTTTCCACCGTGTATTTCTCATAACATTACTTTGCAAGTTTCCAATAGCACAAGAGAGATCAGTACTAGTGACATAAGCACCTAAGAGAAAAGACACATAATGATATAGAAAATTGTCAGCATTATTACTATTCCATTTTCAATGAACGCTAGTGAAATATTATTCAAAATTTGTAAATTAATTATGACACATTGAAATTAGTGTGCATGTGACGTCACATGTAAAATTTAATGAGTTATTTCAATGAAAAAGATTCTTGATTAACTGACCTACTACGTCACAACTGGTCTGGGAGAAACTGCAAAGCTAAAAAAAAATGGATTATCAGGTCTGTACCAAATGTTTCATTTTTTTTCTAACTCTGACACCCGATCCCAACTGAGTATTTGGATGTGAGGGAGGCAGAACAATGGATTGGCAGCTTTTCCACTTCCAGGAGACTGATCAGCAATTTAATATTTTACTGGTTGCTCAGGCCTTGGGAAGGCTGGCACCTGAGAAGAAAGTATAGTTTTGGAGAGTAAGCAAGTGCCTTTCCAGCACTTTTTTTAAAATCCCTATCTGCCTGGTCTTCTCCACTGTCTCTGTCCCAAACTGACTCTTCTTATGACTTCAGCCTTCGTTTTATTCAATCATGGGATGTGGGTGTCACTGGCTAGGCCAACATTTTTTGTCCATCCCTAATTGCCCAAGAGTCAATCACATTTCTGGAGTCACACGTAGGCCAGACGAGGCAGTTTCCTTCCCTAAAGTGCATGAGTAAACCAGCTGAGTTTTTCCCAAGAATTGGCAATGGATTCACGGTCATCATTAGACACTTTATTCCAGGTTTTTCTTGAATTCAATTTCCACCATCTGGGAACGTTACCTGGGTCTCTGGATTAATAGTCCAGTGGTAATACCACAAGGCCTTTGCCTCCCCTTTGCCCATGTTACCCATCCTTAAGCTGCCTCATCTCTAAACAATTCCTGGGAGTCCAACAACTCCACAATTCCCCTGTCCAAGATCCTCCTGAAAGTCTCTTCCTTGTCCAAGTTTTTATTCTTTAACTGAAACACCTTTTGATGCTTTACAATATTAAAGGAGCTATTTAAATGCAAGTTGTTATTCGAGGGTTTAAAACAGGGAGAACAATGTAATTACCTAGTAAGACAGCAAAAATAGATACCAGTCCTGTTCCAGCACCCAGTTCAATTACGTTTTTGTCATCAAGGTTGAATTCATTCCAGTTGCATTCGAGAAAATGGCACAGCTCAACTGCCTGTAGAAAGAAACGATATTAAACCCCTAAAATATCAGAGTAACATCACTGAAGTTCACTTGAATGGAAGTACTTTCCCCCCAAATAAGATAGCTATGGAATTCAGAGACATAGGAAACTTGAGCAAGATCCTGTCCTGAATCTCAAACTACATTGTGACAGTTTGTACAGGGACAGGATTTACTTACATTTGGAAAAATATGGAGTTATTACCAATAGGCAGCATGGCTTTGTGCAAGGGAGATCACGTCTCACAAACTTGATTGAGTTTTTTGAGGAAGTGACAAAGATGATTGATGAGGGCAGGGTGATGGTTGTTGTCTATATGGACTTTATCAAGGCCTTTGACAAGGTCCCTTATGGCAGGTTGATGATAAAGAAGTTGAAGTTACATGGGATCTGTGGTGAGATGGTTGGATGGATACAAAACTGGTCACAGGAGATGGCAGTGGAAGTGTGTTTTTCTGACTGGAGATCTCTGGCTAGTGGTGTTCGGCAGGGATCAGTGTTGGGACTCCTATTGTTTGTAATTTATATAAATGATTTGGAGGACAATGTAGGTGGCCTGATTAGTATGTTTGCAGACGACAAAATGGTAGAGGGAGCTGCATATAGTGAGGAGGATTGCCAGAGGATACAGCAGGATATAGATAGGCTGGGGACTTGGGCAGCACCAGCTCTGGGGGTGGTGCCATGCTTGGGGCAGGACTTGCAGTTTCAGGCCACTCCTACCATTTTTGCTCTGGTGGAAAAGTCTGGCCTAAAGTTTCTTTATAAGACCCATTAGAACTTGCTTTGGCTTTTACACCATGAAACATTTTGTTATTTGTCACACATGCTGTCCACTCTATCATGGACCTCCCCTTTAGTTTTTACTCTCACACCCCACCCTGCAGTCTCTGATTCCCCCACCATCAGCCCACAACCTTCACTCACTCAAAACCTATTCATTTTTCTTTCATCAACACTTATGAAGGATTGCAAAGACCTAGATGTTAACTCAGTTTCTCTTCATAGGCGCTGTCTCACCTACATTTTTATATTTTTTACTTCAGGATTCCAGCATTGGCAGTATTTTGTTTTCATGGAAGTCAGGCTACATTGGGTCCATGAGTCATTTATCAGGTTAGAATGGAAGATCAATGTTTAATGTTTGAATATATGTTGTAGAGCTGGCTAAAGGAAGGGATCCCTATTTTGGTATATCTTGAATAGAATTTGAACGTTATGGCAATATGGTTTCACAATGAATGCTGATCATTTACTTGTTTTATGCCAAATCTGTTTTTTTTTAAGATATGGTAAACAAAGTGTTGGCTTATAGTTGACACAGTGAGCTGGGTTTTTATTGACAAGTTGTTTGTTCAAACCCCAGAACTCGATACCCTTTATCTTGATAATAAAACTAAGTTATAGATATGTAGAGGTTCTGAGAGCTGACTATGGAAATGATTATCACTGAGTACACAGTTTTTTAAAAAAATATTTGTTCATGAGATGTGGGAGTTGCTGGCTAGAAAGCAATTGTCGCCCATCCCTAATTGCTCAGAGGGTAATTAACATGATGGGATATCCAGCATTAAACCCAAAATATATATGCCTTGTATAGTTTCAACTATTAGAAACACCTTATCACGTTAATCATATTATGTGTTGTGGTGTTTCTGACCCTATTTACAACTTACTGCTGTATTCAAAAAATTATTGACCGCTTACCAATTCATTTCTTTAAAAACAAAAACACTGTTATGCCACTGTTTTGACACGATATATATTTTGTAATATTGCTTAAGTGAGTCTTGTCATTGGGACTTTTTTAAAAAAAAGTTTACTTCCAATTTATTACCCCTCTTTCTGATGACTCCATGATTGTATTGTTACTTAAATGTTGAGTGCTGATAACACCTATTTGATTGTTGATTTTGACAGTGCCTGCTTTGAGAGAAATTTGTGAACACAGATGATGTTGGATGTTCCCTTTGTGTATTGTTTTACATTTAATTCAGTCCCTTCACAGATGGCGAAATAGCACATTCCAAATAATAATCAAAAAACTCAACACGTTTGGGCAAAACCTAATGCTATTGTAATTACTTCAAAGGTTTAATTTAAAAATGAATAGAGTAACTTTTGATATAATTTCAATAGCATGAATACTGATAGTATTCAAGATTAATTAATCCAGTGCACAATTCATCACCAATCATTGGATTTCATTTACAATTTCAGAACCTGAACTGGAATACCTAATCTAAGATGTGGTGGTAATGTAAAAGGAGTCTATTTTAATTTTAACTCCCTGTTGAACACATTTACACTTTCTCCATCCCTGTGATCTGGTCATTCAGGGCAGAGTTTAGATGGTGTCCCATCAGAGGACAGGGCGCATGCTGTGTTGTGACCCCATTTAAAAGCCTTCCCACAGGGGCAAGTGTTCAGAAGGGAATGAGTTCAGGCTGTATTCCCTCAAGGGCAGCCTTCCCAGCTCATGAAGTCACCCAGATTTGGTCGGGGCAGAGTTCAGATGGTGTCCCATCGAAGGGCAGTGTGCAGACAGGCTTGTGACCCCATTTAAATGAGTTCCCTCTAGAGGAAGCGTGCCAGAATCTGCCTTGTGGTGAACTACAGTCATTCAAATGAACTGAAAACATTCACAACCATGACTTCACAGGATGCATGAACCAGTGTCTTCTACTCCTCCATTGGCACAGTCAGCACCTTGGAACTCTAGGATGCTATGCAAATTCTATCGTTACAATTGTTGCAATTTGATAAATGGTAGCAAATGTATACCAGCTCCTGTACAACAGAGAAAATGTGTTTATTCATTTTGTTTCTTTATTCTGTCTCCCATGTTCTTCCTCCTCCCCAGGTCTAAGTTTCACCTTTATTTTTTGCTTAAGTAGGACATACCGCTGGCCAAGTTATAGCTCCAAAGTGATCAATGGATTGGTGGATGATGATCTCGTAACCTGCAAAGTGGTAACATTCCTTTGAAATATATCCATAAACCGAGGGAGACCAAATCCTATTCAGAGCATCTGAAGGTTTTTCGACATCAGTGAGAACTTCTAGTAGAAAGAAACCATATATCTACAGTTAATAAAGAAAATACCATTTGAGCTGAAATGATAATAAGTTACTGATGATTCATCCATTCATGTAAATCCCAGTTTGTTATTCATGCATATGCATTCATATTTTTAAAACAGCCCTGATGAAGATCTGCATTCGACTTTCTGACTCCGTTACGTCCTAAGGAAGATATTAAAATGCTACGTTATCTCTGACAAGGTACAGAAAGCAGAGTTCTCTGACTCATTGTTAATAACTCCTGGCCTTGCTTCTCCCTGTTGCTCAAATCTCCACCAACCCTAAACTCTCCTCCCAAGCCTGAATTTCCCTGTCATCCCACTTGACATCTTCTTCACCACTGCCCTTCATCCCACAGGTTGTCTTGATCTACCTAATCCCTGTGCTCCAGAATTCCCTTCTCCACTTCTCCACCTCCCTCTCCTCCCCCTATATCCCTTCCAGACTCAGCACCTGTGAATAATCTAAGTCTATTTTTCACTGTGAAAGGCTCACTGCAAAATAAAATTAGTTGTCAAGATATAGTTTAATCAGGAATTGCTCATTGGGGATAAAGTAGTTTTAGGGTAGCAATGGGAGTGGGCCTGTGTTCAGATTACCACTTGTTCTCTTGGCTGAAGATCATTTGTACCATGCAGAATTAAGGAAAAGCAACACACGCTTTCATAGGGAGAAATGTCAATATCTTAGCACCACCAACAATCTCCATTAGAGCCTGAAATGTACCAAGGTTGTATTCCCTTCTGGCCAACTTTAATATTAAATGAACAAGTTCCAAAATTAACAACATAAATTTCTAATACATGACTATAGGAACAAGGGAGCAGGAGTATTCAGTCCATCAGCTCTGCTCCACTATTTGAGATCTTAGTTGATTATCTACTTCAAAACTGTTTTCCTGTGTTATCTTCATCAACCCTTACTGTCTTTAATGTCTATCGATCTCTGAACCCAGGATCCTTGCCATTGCTGCCTGAAATCTACTTCACTCATGACATGATAAATGACATAATACTTCCTTATTAAAATATACTTGCAAAATCTATTTGTAGAAAAAAGCAACAAAACATTTGCTAAAAGATAAATTTCAAACGTGACTTTTGTTGTTAAAAAAATCATTACCTCCTTCAAACAACATGGATAAAACTGGGGCAGAGACGGGAAAGTATTTTATTATAAACAGCATAAAGGAGAATCGCAGGTTATTAAAACATGTCTGAGGTGAAGGAACTGGGGGGGGATTACAGCTTGATTTACTGAATAAGGACAATACCATGTGGCATATGAACAGTCTTATTATGCCTTACAATTAAAATAAATATCGGAAGCCCTGAAATTTGAGAAACTTCACTGTTGATACAGTGTACATGAGGATGTTGTATTTCTATCCTTAGTTGATGTCAAAGACAATGATCCTCATAATTTTTCACAAATATATTGCTGTGAAATCTGGCAAAGGAATAACTTTTAAAAACATAAATGCTGAGCCAACCATTATAACCATATAGATCTACGTCTTTTCCAAATGGAATATGGGCCCAAATTTTATTGTCAATAGAAAATGATGACCTCAAAGAAAGCTGTCCACTGAATCAAATGTCATTGCTTTCAGACATCGCTTTAAATCTGGCTCTGAATCAACGGGATCCCAAAGTAGCCACAATGATTACGTCATCAGTATATGTGTCCAATCAAATTGAAGTGTTCTTGCTGACAGCAAATCAGGAAGTAAACTCCTTCACTTATCATTTAAATTTGATGGAGAGCAAAATATATCATTAAAACATGATTCTGGGCTTAAGGTAGAATCCAAAATATCATAAACATTTTTAAAAAGGATCTTTTTTAATAAATACATTTGTCATTCAGCAAGTATAAAATTAACCTTTAAGTATTGTTATAAAGCAGAGGTTGACTCCCCTTCCCTTCTGAGAACTAACACTGAAACACCAAAGAGGAGCACCTCACCCTATAGTCTGCAAAAGGAGTGTGAAAAGTGGTGTGACCTGCCTTTCAGCAACTTCTAGTGGTTAAATAAAATAAACCTCTGACACTCACTTTACAATCAACAAGTAACAATTTATTTATCTAACTCTAACAGTGAACAAATTAACTAAACTACTACAAATCAAACAAATCCCTTCTAACTGTTAACTATTCCCAAATAAAGCAAGATTCTAATGGTATGCTGTTCCAATAAATACAAGTCCCATTTATATATATAAAAAAAGAATTTAGTCGCTCAAAATTACAGCCAGGTTAAGTATCTTCCGGAATGTTCTGTGCCTTCTATGTTCTGTGCCTTCATTCCTGTTCTGTCAGGAGTGCCTTCTCCATTGATTCTTCTGTCAGAAGTATTAACTAGTTATTCCGTTGCTAGTGTTGTTATTTAGACGGTGCCCTCTCCAACACATAGAGGAAGCTCTGGTAGATGGCAGCTAGCTCTCTCTGCTCTTTGTCTAACTGCCCCCTTCTTCTATGCCCTTGATGGCATATCAATATTTCTTACAATAGGATGATCCTATGTTGTCAAAATCATCAGACTTAAATTTAATAGGTTTTTCGTATCTAAGTACTTAGTTCACATTGATTGGCTAAATTCAAAAGGCTGTTGTCATGGTAACAACTGCTGCTTGGCCTGCTAGCTGTATGGCCTTTCTATACAAATGTTTCAATTCTGGTGCTCTCAGTGTACTTGCAAACTTTCAAGCTGCTGCTCACAGACATCCATTTTAAATCTCTAAGTATAGAAAAAGCACATGATCTTTTAAAAGGACCATGCAATGTTTCCCCGTAGCATTTTACAAACACCAAATTCTAACTTCCTGCCTCCCAATCCACAACTACTCTACCCAACTTTGCAACAGTACCATGAGGCCTTTAAGCAGGAATTATGAATTTAACATGTTGTTAGAAACTCATTCAACAGTCTCTTGGAGGTGGGGTGTTTGAAAGTGAAGAACGATGGAGAAGGATAAGCAGTAATGCCTGGATTTCCATGTTGAACTGCGTATACACAAACTCTAGACATTGCTGTCACTTTTAGTGGGGTAATGGGGTTGAATGCCCTCATTACTACTAGAAAATCCAGGCCATAATTCTGTTTACATTTGTTTTGCTACTGTTGTTATATCCTCCTCGACTTTATTTTCCATGTAGCCTGTGTTTGGTTATAATAGCTCTGTAAGGGTAATCTTCAAATAATCATTATAAGGGGTGATGATGGCCGAGTGGTATTATAGCTGGATTGTAAATCCAGAGACCCATGTTCAACTCGCACCATTGAATTCAATAAAAATTTGGAATTAAGAGTTTAATGATGATCATAAGTCCATTCCTGATTGTAAGGAAAAACCCATCTGGTTCACTAATGTCCTTTAGGGAAGGAAGCTGCCATCCTTACCTGGTCTGGCCTACATGTGACTCCAGACCCACAGCAATGTGGTTGACTCTTAACTGCCTTCTGGGCAATTAAGGATGGGCAATAAATGCTGCCTAGCCAGCAAAGCCCACATCCCATCCATTTTATAGCCAACTGGTTCAACTTCATGATATTTTATATTAGCATACTAAACACCATTTTTATATTTATTAATTGTACTCAAGGAAGCCTATCTTATCTAAACAATGAGAGACAGCACAGGTCTCAGATTCAAAGGGAGCTGGGTGTCCTCATGCATGAGTCACAAAAGGTTAACTTTCAGGTACAGCAAGTTATGAGGAGCGCTAACACAATGATGTTATACATTTCAGGGGAATTGAACATGAAAGTAGGGATATTTTGCTTCAGTTATACAAAGTATTGGTGAGATCACATCTGGAGTAGTGTTTAGGGTCTCCTTATTTTGGGAAGGATATAAATGCATTGGAAGCTGTTCAGTGAAGGTTTACAAGGCTAATGTCTAATTGGGTGGTGTGGGGTTGTCTCATGAGGAAAGGTCGAATAGGCTCGCTTTGTATCCAATGAACTTTGGAAGAGGAAGAGGCGACCTTACTGAAACACGTAAGATCCTGTGGAACCTTGACATGGTAGAGTTGCAAAGATACTTCTTGTGTGAGAATCTAGAACTAGGGTGTCACTGTTTAAAAAGTCATTGTTCATTTAAAACGAAGCTGAGGAGATTGTTTTTCACACACAGGGTGGTAAATGTTTGGAACCCTCTTCCTCAAAAAGCAGTAGAAATGGAATCTTTAAATCGTTTTAAGGCAGAGGTAGGTCAATTATTGACAAGCAAAGGGTGAAACATTATCAGCAGTAGATGGGAATGTGAGTAATCAGCCATAAGCTTATCAAATGCAGGAGGCACCTTGTTCTATCCCTGCTGCTAATTTCCATGTTCATATCTATTCTGCCATTTATGTACACACATCCGTGCTCCAATGATAAATACACTACAAGGATATTAAACAAACACTGTGAAATATATATTGATTAAATGTTACTATACCTTCATTTTCATCAGAAGATTCAGTTTCTGAATGTTCTTCCTGCTTCTGAATTTCAAATTCCTCTTCACCCTCTGTAGATATATCTAATGTAGATACTGTCTCCATTGCAGAAAAGTACTACAAAGTCACAAATCAGATTACTGGTGAATAATACCTTGTGGATGTCAATTGGTTAGTGTTTAGTGAGAGGGGATGAGCAACAACAAATAGGAGGACGCTGGCCCCACTCCAACAGCAAGAACACACGCATGAACAGGCTGGGAATAGAGGCAGATGGGATTAGTTTAGAATGGTATCATGGTCAGCACAGATGTGGTGGGCTGAAGGGTCTGTTCCTGTGCTGTATGGACATAAATTGGGGATGACTGAGGAACATTCCTTTTCCCTGTGTTTGGAAAAGTCTCTCAATTGTTTTTGTTTGGTATAGTGAATAAAGATCGAGGATAAAACAGCAATGGAGGACCCTGCTCCCAGTATTTTTCTTCTTGTTCCAATTGGTCTTTGTGGTGTTGTGGTGTTCCAATTCCAGCTATTTGTATTTCTGCTCACTCACAGTGTCTGCTTTTAATTACTTTAAGTCTGTTGACTATGACTTACAGAAGCCAAGAGTTCCTGAAAACATTTTTACTTCAAATTAACAATGGTGGACAGTAATGACGCAGATATTCCAATGGCCAGAGAGGTGTGGAGTAGCTAACACTGCAGTTGTATGTCAGGATGATGCACAGTCACCTGAAGCAGCTGACCTCATCGAAACAGCTAGGACACCGATGGACAATCCTCTGTACCTGGAACCCTCCAAAAGAGTCTATTAAAGTTTCAGAATTTGGAGGCTTCCAACTCTTTTAAGCTTAATAGTAAGCCAGGAAAAGTAAGAGGATTAAAAATCTACTGAAACTCATGGGTAACTTTTGAACTGACTTTCAGCTGACCAGTGAAGTAACCAAACAAACCTTCCCTGATCATCCCTACTGGCCTGACAAACACGCACTCAGTCACTCACCCCCCTCCTCGACCACCTCCTGGAATCAACCCCCTTAACCTGTCACCCCAGGCACCTAACTACACCCAACCCTGACACCGCCATCCCATCCTGAGCCCCCAGTACACAGACTTTCTCCAATAGCCTAACACTAACCCATCGTTCCAAGCTTCAATATGACCCTGGTCCTGTTGCATTTGGTATCTCAGAACTCACCACCAATTCTACTGCTGAAACACTGTGCATTCACCAGCAAACATCTCACTTCTGACCTTATGATGGAGGGAAGGTCATTGATGAAGCAGCTGAAGATGGTTGGGCCTAGGACACTACCCTGAGGAACTCCTGCAGAGATGTCCTGGAGCTGAGATGACTGATCTCCAACAACCAAAACCTTGTTCCTTTGTGTTAGATACAGTGAGAGATTTCCCCTGATTACCACTGATTCCAGTTTTGCTCGGGCTTCTCAATGTTTTGCCATTTGGTTAACTCGTCTACTTCTTTCTGAAGTTTCCTTGTGTCATCTCACCACTTGCCCTTCCACTGATTTTTGTGACATCCTCAAACTTGGTGATAGTACATTCATTTCTGTCATCCAATTCATTAATATATATTATAAATAATTGTGATCCCAGAACTGACCCCTGTAACACTCAACTAGTTACAGTTTGCTGAAAATACATCCCTTTTCCCAACTCTCTGTTTTCTATTAGTGAGCCAATTCTCCATGCTAATATACTGCCCCAAACACCATAGGATGTTATTACTTAGCTTTATGAGTGGTACCATATTGAATGCCTTTTGGAATTCCAAATATATTATTTGAAATAATTGGTTCCTCTTTATCTTGCTTGTTACTTTCTCAAAAGGTAAGAGAGAGGCAAGAGAGGACATCAGACTGTTGGAAGATGAGGCTGGGACAGTAGTAATGCAGAACAAAGAAACAGCAGAGGAACTGAATAAATACTTTGCATCAGTTTTCACAGTGGAATACACCAGCAGCATACCAGAACTTCAAGAGAGTCAGGGGCAAAGTTGGGTGTACTGACCATCACTGGAGAGAAGGTGGTGAGGAAACTGAAAGGTCTGAAGGTGGATAAATCTGGACCAGATGGACTACACCCCAGAGTTCAAAAGGAAATAGCTGAGGAGATTGTAGGGACACTGGTGGTGATCTTTCAGGAATCACTGGAGTCAGGGTGGTCCCAAAGGACTGGAAAATGGCTCATGTAATACTCTGTTTAAGAAGGGATGGAGACAGAAGACAGGAAATAACCTACTGATTAGCCTGACCTCAGTCATTAGTAGTCCATTATTAAGGATGAGATTGCAGAGTAGTTGGAAGTGTACAGTGAAAGGGGGCTGAGTCAGCATGGCTTCATCAAGGGGAGGTCATGCCTGACAAATCTGTTAGAATTCTTTGAGGAGGTAACAAGAAAGTTAGACAAAAGAGAGCGAGTGGACGTGAGCTATTTGGATTTCAAGAAAGCATTTGATAAGATGCCACACAGGAGGCTGCTAAATAAGGTAAGAGCCCATGGTGCTAGGGGCAAGGTACTGGAATGGATAGAGGATTCGCTGACTGGCAGAAGAAAGACAGTAAGGACAAAGGGGTCTTTTTCAGGGTGCCAGGTGACTAGTGGGGTTCCACAAGGGTCAGTGTTGGGATCACAAGTATTCACATAATATATTAACAATCTGGATGAAGGAACTGAGGGAATTGTTGCTAAATTTGTAGATGACATAAAGATGGGTGGAGGGGCAGGTAGTGTTGAGGAAGTGGGGAGGTTGCAGAAGGACTTGGACAGGCTAGGCAAGTGGGCATAGGAGTAGTCGATGGAATACAATGTGGGGAAGTGTGAGGTGGGGAGAATAGAGGCGTAGACTATTTTCTGAATGGAGGAAGTCTTTGGAAATCTGAAACACAAAGGGACTTGGGAGCACGAGTTCAGGATTCCCTTAAGGTTAACATGCAGGTTCAGTTGACAATTAAGAAGGCAAATGCAATGTTAGCATTAATTTCAAGAGGGCTAGATTGCAAGAGCAGACATGTACTGCTGAGGTTATACAAGGCTCTGGTCAGACCACGTTTGGTATATTGTGACCAGTTTTAGGTCCCGTATCTCAGGAAGGATGTACTGGTGTTGGAGGGGTCCAGGGGACATTTACAAGAATGATCCCAGGAATGAAGGGCTTGTCATATGAGGAGCAGTTGGGTCTTAGTGCAATGGAGTTTAGAAGGATGAGGGGGATCTGATTGGAACTTACAGAATACTGAGAGGCCTGGATAGAGTGGGCCTGGAGAAGATATTTTCACTAGTAGGAGAGACTAGGACCCTAGGGCACAGCCTCAGAGTGAAGGGATGACCATTTAAAACTGGGATGAGGAGGAATTTCTTCAGCTAGTGGGTGGTGATTGTGTGGAACTCATTGCCACAGGAGGCTGTGGAGACCAAGTCATTGTGTGTCTTTAAGGCAGAGAGAGACAGTTTCTTGTTAGTAAGGGGATCAAAGATTATGGGGAAAAGGCAGGAGAATGAGGTTGAAAAACATATCAGCCTTGACTGAATGGTGGAGCAGATTCGATGAGCTGAATGGCCTAATTCTGCTGCTATATCTTGTGGTCTTCCAACTCTTAATAGTTTGACGGGCATGATTTCCCCTTCATGAAGCCATGCTTACTTGGCCTGATTATATCATGTATTTCGAAATGTTTTGCTGGTAGCAGGCTCTAACATTTCTCACTGAGAGATATTACGCTAACTGGCCGATAGCTACCTGTGTAGTTTTTCTCTCTCCCTTTTTGAATGAGGGCAATTCCTGCAGCATTGCAATTTTCTGAGAGCTAACTAGGATCCCCAGAGTGTGCACAAATCTTCAAGCTTAAGGAGAGTGCGTAACCAAAGGAGCCAGTAGCTCCAGTTTTACACAAGATTTACAACAAAATAATAATCAGAAGGCAATGGGAAGTGCATTTCTGCCATTATAGCAGTCTCTCCAAGAACCTACTGCCAATGAGAGTGCTGGTGATCAAGAAGATCATTCTGGATCTCTGCCCCTCCTGATCTTTGTGGTACGCTCTCTTGCACCTCATGCACAGTGCATGCTGTCAGGTTCCATCACATGTGGTTCCAGCTCTACCACCCATCCACCATCCCAAACTGGAGGGTGACAACAGGGTTCAACTCCAGGCTGTAAAACTAAACCAACAGCTACATGACTGAAAAACACGGGCTTACAACTTACAACTGGTCTGAATGTATGGAGTCATACATTTTGGTAGGAGTAATAGTAAAAAGGATTATTACTTGAATGGTAAAAAGTTGCAGCATGCTGCTATGCAGAGGGACCTTGTGCATGAATCACAGAAGGTAGGTCTGCAGGTACAACAAGTAATTAGGAAGGCAAATGGAATTTTGTCCTTCATTGCTAAAGGGATTGAGATTAAAAGCAGAGAGGTTATGTTGCAGCTGTACAAGGTGCTGGTGAGGCCACACCTGGAGTACTGTGTGCAGTTTTGGTCTCCTTACTTGAGAAAGGATGTATTGGCACTGGAGGGGGTGCAAAGGAGGTTCACTAGGTTGATTCCAGAGTTGAGGGGGTTGGCTTATGAGGAGAGACTGAGTAGATTGGGATTATATTCACTGGAGTTCAGAAGATTGAGGGGGGATCTATTAGAAACATATAAAATTATGAAGGGAATAGATAAGATAGAAGTAGAGAGGATGTTTCCACTGGCAGGTGAAGCTAGGACAAAAGGGCATAGCCTCAAGATTAGAGGGAGCAGATTTAGGACTGAATTGAGAAGGAACTTCTTCATCCAGAGGGTTGTTAATCTATGGAATTCCTTGCCCAGTGAAGTAGTTGATGCTATCTCAGAAATGTTTTTAAAGGTAGATTTTTTTTGAACAATAAAGGAATTAAGGGATATGGTGAGAACGCGGGTAAGTGGATCTGAGTCCACGAAAAGATCAGCCATGATCTTATTGAATGGCGGGGCAGGCTCGAAGGGCCGGACGGCCTACTCCTGCTCCTAGTTCTTATATTCTTATGTTCTTTGAGCACTCATGGCAAAATTCAGATCAATCCAGCAAATCCGTCACAACAACAACAACAAAGTTGC